TGCGCTGTTTTATTTGGTTAATCATCCAGTCTGGGAAGAAGGCATTCAAGTAAGAATTGCATTGTATAGTATGACTCATTTCCTGGCGCGTACAATTTATATTAGGTCAGCGTTCACGGTTCGACTTCTGATATTCAGATCGAGTTCTAGGTCAAACTGGTTTGTTCGACTTTCAAGAAATTCGAGTTCTAGTGAGTTTGAGAACAGAGGTACCACCGTATATACACATAGTCCTGTGACAAAAAGTGACCATACTGCCACCTCAATATCTGGTGGTACTGCATCTCGTACACGTGTCGCGTTAATTCCTCATGTAGGTGCATAGGCATGGGAGATCTCCCATGATTAGCTCCGCTTCTTAAGCTTAAAGAACTCAGCTGACAATGCGACGTATTGTTGCCATGTTCTGGAGCATTACCAAACATTCTTTTGTCTTTTTTCTCTCCCGTTTTTCCTGCCTGCTGTGTCCTGCCTATCTGTCTCGCCTACCCTACCTGCCTGCCCTCTCCCACCTGCCCTGCCTGCCTGCCCTCTCCCGCCTGCCTTGCCTACCCGACCTGCCTGTTCTACCCCATCATCCTGGTCTACCTGACCACATACTCTCGGATTCGACTACTGGGATCTTCATTCATGAAGACTGATAGCTTTGATGATGCATTCCCTCTTTATGTTGATTTTGTCATTCTGAGGAAAGAATGGGACAATACATGGAGACAGGGCATGAGGAAAAACACTTAGTCAATGAATTCTGCACCTTGTTTTAACTTCACACATTTAATGTTAATTTAGGCAGCAATGGTAATCCAAAATGAACTCTAGCACAAATGATGAAGTGTCCAAAATTAGATTAAGGTTTCACTTATATATAATAATTTTTTAAATTCAAGTACTATATAAACACTGAATATCAGTTGATCACATTTTTTATATTATCTTGCACTGCTTTAAAATGGTAAACACAACACGCTCACAACTGAACACACTGCATCTTCAAGGTCATAAAAACATACAATAACTAATGTACAGAGCTGGCACTTAAAGTCAGTAAATGGTAGCTTTTCTTTGGCTATATTATGAGTAGCGATGAATATCGTTTGGATTTCATTCATGTACTTTGATGTTGCTTGTCGGTTCAATTCCTTATTGGTTCTTCTGATTGTTCTGCTAGACAAATGTTTAGTTGCACATGACAGACCCTAATTGCTAATATAAAGTTAAGTGACACTGATGTTCTCTGAAAATGTTACATTGGTTCATTTGATCTAGTAATGCCACAGGTCATTTAAAAGGTCAGGTTCAGGTCAGGTCAGGTCAGGTTGGGGAGCATGTGCCGATGCACCACATGGTGAAACTCCTCAGGATCCCGGCTGGCAACCCTCCAGGCAGAGACAGGGTCCAGTCCCATATTCCAGAAATGGCCATCTATCCATTTAAAAACTGACAAAAATATGTAGTTGAATCTGTAGTGTGATTTTATTATAGGACTGCCCCACCTGATTTTCTGCCGGCCCACCCACTCGATGATTTCTGGCTCCGCTATTACTGTACATTACAGCATTGTACTGCAAAGGTAATCCAGCAATGATCCAGTATCTTACTTCTTGTGGTTGCACTTGGGTAGGTTAATGATACTTTGATACAACTCTGCTGAGGTTGCTTGGTTATAGGCCCCCATAATGATAAAAGCAGCCACAGAAAGTTGATTGATAGACAATGTAACACAATAAAACGTTTCACATAAAAGAGGTTCTATAAAATATGACACAAGGGGAAATATAGGAAGTATGTAAACACAACTGTGCAACCAGGTAGCAAACGAGAGCGTCAAATAAAAGAGAAGAGGTAATAAACGCTGACACAAATCATGTGAACATTACCTCAGTGGAACATGGTAGCTGCGTAACATAAGATACATAAGTGCAGGTATAGGACAAAAATCAGTATATAGGACAGGCTATTTAAAGCGCATATACAGGTGCTGGGGTATCGAAGTGCAAAGTGAAGTGTGTGAATGTATGGTACAGTACAATCAGCATTCTGTTTCTGCAGAATATAGTGGGCACTTGCAGGAGTTTATTTGTTTGGTAATTATGGGGAAATTGAGGCATCTTCCAGAGGAGAAAACAGTCTGTGGCTAGTGTGAGTGGGGTCAGGGGCAATGCAGATTGCTGGTTGTATGCAGCTGTGCCGTGGCCAGATCACATAGGTATACAGGATGCTCACCATATCTCAGAAGAGCTCATTATTGAATGAGGGGGTGTTAGCCAACACAAAGTATCTGTATAAATAGTGATCCCAGATAGCCTGCTAACTCCATGAGGCCAGAGTCATTAGATGAAAAGGAAAATCAACATAATCGTCATGCGTTAAATCCCTTTCTTGGATCTTATGTGCCATTAGATATTTAAGGATATTTTATGTCAAAATATAGAATGAGCCATGTGCAGTTACTATGGCAACCCTTTCTTAAACAACCCTATCTTCCAGGATTTACTTGTCAGTGATGCATGCACAGTTCCCTTCTCCTCGGCCAGAGACACCCGCACACAGTTCACACCTGCCCTCTGACTCAGGTTCTGCTCTATGGAGCGGACGCATGAGCCACAAGTCATGCCTGTAATAGCAATGGTGACTGCTGACCAGGGCTGTTGGCTGAAGGTTCTGAGGGAAGACAGAGAGGGCTTCCTCTCCCCTGCGCCTTGGTCTGCCTCCTTGCTGGGCAGAGAAGCTCATTTCTTCAATTAGCTGCTTGAGAAGGAGCTGGGTGCAAGAAAAGGCCACTACGGCCTCCCCGTTACTCAGAGACACACTGACACCTCGTACACCCGGCTGCTGGCCCAGCCTGCCCTCGATGGTGCTCACGCAGGATGTGCACGTCATGCCCTTCACCCAGATCTTTACTACACCCACTTCTTCCTCCTCCTCTTCCTATGTGGCTCCAAAACCCATTCGTTGGATTTCATGCCAGGTTTCCTGGACAGTATTAACAAATATGGGGTCAAACTGGATCAGCTTCAAAATTCACTTGGGCAGCCTCCAAGCCTGGTTGGAGCCATTTTTACACATGAACTCCAGATGTTGTCTGGAGAATCAGGTTATTTTCTGAAGTTACCCTTTCACATATGTGGCACACAATCGGAGATTGTCCGTGTCAGATGTGTTCACATCAACTAGAAATAGTCCGGTTGGTTTAGATGAGTGATGCTGCTTGGGTAGAGCATGCAGGAGGCAGGACATGAATGTTAAAGTACACTGTGGAAATTGCAATGTTTCGTTTACAGCACACCAAAGGCATTTGCTGCTCACCTTAGTTTGGATTACACCATGGTCACATAGCCGGATTGTACTTTGATCAAACACAACTGAGACTCCTGTCATTCTTTGAATCTGTCAGACGATTTTGGTGTTAGTCTTTACTGACAGATTTTTCTGGCTGTTTGCACTCTTACATTTTTGCCCCAGCCACATGATAGAATTCGCCAGAATTCTCCCAACTCTATTCACACATGGGGGGTCTATCAGAAATTACTAGGGACCTAGCAGGGTGGAGTCCATTTAAAATCCAGTATAACTGATTTGGACATTTGCGTTCACGCAGCCTGTCATGATCGGCACAGGGAAGCAGTTGAAGGAAGCCGTCAGAGGTCACACACTCTATACACATGTAACGTTAACGACCGAACTGGGGAAACAAACTGAAACGCAGACTAAATACGTTGAACTAATGACAGCAACAGGAAACAGCTGGTGAACATGGGGAATCCACACGGGGGGTAGAGGACAGGGCGTGGCACACGGGAGGATCGGACGAGCGGGGCATGACACACACCTGGCCCTGGTATTTACCTGAGAACAGGTGTGGCTCATCAGAAGCCAGGTAGAATAGAAAACCTACTGGACGGTAGCTCTCCAGGACAGGAGTTGGAGACCCCTGCCCTACAGTAATGTCTAGAAATGTTCAGGGTGGCAGTACATGTCTGAAAGGGGCTTAAGACAAGTAATTATTCAGTTTCAGAGTTTATTTCCAACAGGCAAATTGGGAAACCATATTAGTGATGTATCAGACACTTTCAGATCAGGTGCAGACTTATTAGTATTACAGACGATCCAAAATCATGAAAAGAGGAATCAAGTCAAAAAGTGGTCTTTCCATTAAGGTCAGAATCACGCCCTGCCTATCTGCCCCTTCCATTTTCCCCCATAGTATGGCTTTAGTGAGCCACATCTGTTATGCACTAGTTTTACCCCTTGTTCTTGCCCTTGTGTGATTCACTTCAGCTTCCTCTTGTTTGCTCCCTCGTTAATCCTTATATGAAATGCTTCTTAGTCCTGTGCTCCCCTGTCCAGTCACTAACATTATCCCCTCTGTTTACTGTTGGAGCAGGGCGTCTCCACCGGATCCGTGGATGAGAAGAGATTCACAGCTGACACGGGGAGAAGTTGCAAATCACTGGTTTATTGTCTTGACTGATTATAATCAGGGAGCGGCCGTCTGACATACATTCAGCATGTACAGGAGGAGGCTCTGCCATATGTATCAGTTGTATCCCTTTTAAAGCCCTTTGGGCCCCCCCCCCCCCCTTTTCTCGGTACCTTCCGTGTACGTGACAACCACATGTGTGGTTCCAGCCGGCTCGTACTGTTCTTGGCCTTCTG